ATTAATGATGAATCGAAAGGGAATGTTGAATCAACTGTGTTTACTTCAAATCTAAACTTCATTCATACTCCTCTTTCTCTCTTTCCTCTCTCATCTCCTAATTCTGTGAAACAAGTGATAAACCATTATTATCTTTGTCAAATCCGTTGAAGTGAAAACTTGACGCAAAAAAAGCAAAATTGCTCTACCTTTTCGATTAACTTTCCCTGATTATGTCAACTTAAATTTCCACTTTCTACTTCATCAACATCATTCTACTTTTTCATTTTAATTTCAAAGTTCTTGTTATCTTTCTATGTGCACTAAAGATTGAAACTCAATTATGAAATAAATTAGTTGATTGTGAACATTATCATTAACTTGAAATGTTAAGAAATAAATCTTATTAACACATGAAACATTGTACATATTATCATTTAGAGTGAAAAATGGTTCCAGAATCAAGTCAAATACATTATTTTGAAATCCGTAAATTCAAAATATGGAAACTGTACTGTTGAGGGAATTGATATGGACAGTTCCGAACGAAGTGTCTATTTAGTTGAAATTTATGATAGATGTTTAGCATTGATTTCGATTGTCTAGATAAAACTGACGAGACATGTTGTGGACCCACTTGTCCTGAAGCAGATTCCCGTTATATGGCATTATGATGGTCTTGGTAAAGATCATTTTAAATCAATGGCCTGTACCTTCAATTGATATGATGTGATACATTTCATTATGCTCAAAGGAAAATGGTTCATTAACTTGTCCACCTGATTTACATAGTTGTTCTGATAGTCATTGTATCAATATTTACCCGAATCTGATGGTTACAATGATTGGATTTAGGCTCTTTTAATCTTTAAAGACATAAAAGCTGAGTCTATTGGTGCTATTTAATAATTCATCCGATAGACAGTTTTCGATAAAATCGAGTCTTTTGGAACTTCGATCGCCTTTTATGCAATTATGGAAGCAGATTTTTTCATGAAACTAATTTCACTGATTTTACTTTTGATCTCGATTTCTCTACTGTTCTCTTGATTTTGGCCTTAAAATTTTGAGATTCAATAATTCGAGAATGACATCGTTTACAATAATCATTCTTGCATCTAACATTAGAGTTCATTGTGGGTTATAATATTAAATGACTGAATACTGAATAAAATCTGAGCTGATTCATTTTATAATGAAGACCTAATGAAGACAGGATTAATGAATACAGACTGAAAATTCTAGATGGACATAAAATACGAAACTAATCATGAAGGATTACAGAAACGTATGGAAATATAAAATAACTTTAGGGTAAATTATTTAAAGATTAATTATGTAAATATTGTCCCAATACTTTGTAACAAAAATGTCTAAACATGGGTTAACAGATTATCAGCCGATTATTCATTATCAATAATTGAAGAATATAATTTTTTAATAGAAATATTTTATTGAAAAATTAACTTTGTCACAAATACACTGGAGCTGACTCGAATGCAGGCATTGCTTAATTGTTGACTATTATAGTTTAATAGATTTTCACTTTTAAATAGTAAAAAGTTAATATCAATTAAAATCACAAATTTTCATACAATTTATCGAAGAGTTGAAACTCATTTTACAAATAAACTAAACTTTTTCTCAAAACTGATGATCAGACACCTTTCACTTTATGCACCCACTGTCAAAAATCAATCCAAGTTTCAATTTGAGCGTGATTTTACAAAAACTATCGATCATGAATCTTTCAATTTGTCCAATAAATCCCTTTGAATGTCCAAACTAATGGTTTGAACCGATTTCTGTATTAAACCTTTCAATAGATTTCTATTCATTTTAAAAGCCAATTTGTTATTATTTTGTCTTTTTGCTCATTTGCTTATGCTGTTTTGTCCCATTACCCACAAATAAACTGGGGTTGACTCGAATGCAAGCTTTGCTTGATTGTTGACTATTATATTATAATTAATAGACTTTCACTTTTAAATAGTAAAATCGTAACTTCGCAAAATTTTAAATTCACGATTACATCTTGTGCTTTGATTGCTTACGAAATAATTATCGGAGCGTAGTGAAACGAAGTGAAGATTTTAACTCAGATATGCCTTTTTCAAAATCCACTTTTTGTTTTACTGTTACCAAGATAACTCACGAACGGAACTTCACTTAGACTTGATATTTGCATCTAAGACAGAAAATATTGCGACGGTGAAACGATCAACTTTTCAAGGTCATCGGAGGTCATTTTTCGGGATTTTGACCTTTGGCCTTTAGAGGTCATTTGAAAGTCGTTTGAAATTTTTCGAGGTATTTTGATGACGCGCATGAAGATTCATCATTATATCACTAATGGGGATTGAAATTTGGTCCAAAAAAGGGGCAAAAAGTCTGAAACTCATGCAAAAGCAATTTTTTGTAACTATGATATCTCCTAAACAAATGACGCCTCGAACTTGATATTTGCAACGTGCATGATTAAGAACATGTTGCAGAACTGAAAATTAAATAACGATCATCATTTTTGGGGGATTTTGATGTTTGATCTTTAGAGATCATTTGAAGCGTTACTTTTGAATAACCCAATAAACATTCTAAACAATTTTGAATAAGTTATGCTGCCTGAACGGCTGAATAAGTATGTCTCCATCGTCTAATTGAACACTGCTTAAGACCTAGAAAGTATGTTGCCAACTTCAATGTAACTCCATGCTTCGCATATAGGCGTAAGCGATAGATATGTAAGGAAACTTGTCGAGCAGGAAAAGGTTAAAGGAAAAATTACGAGTTCTCTTTCTATTCACTGTCTTCTTCTCTGTGTAACAATGGGTATCAAAAAGATGGCTACTCGATATTTTAGGCTCTAGAAAGAAGAGCACGAAAAGAATAGTGTAGGGCAATCGAACGGCATCGTTCAATGATTAAAGCTAGAAAATTCTTTGGTCTCTTAGACTGTTAATTAAATGTAGTTTCAAGTTAACTTTGGTGCCTATCAATTGTATTGATCGCATTGCCCCCACTCATCAAAACGGCAGTCATTTTTTCGAATTCACACAATAGACAGGGACAGCATTCTCATTGTAACCCTTAAAATACCTCGTATGTCAATCTTCATGACTAAAATTAAATCTATTCATTGACCAAAACTAAGTATATCAACCTGACACCCGTAAAATCCGCTCTTTATCAGAACAGTATGCTTAAACTAATTACGCAGGATTAGCAAATTTTAAAGCTTGCATGAGGTTTTACTGGTTTTGGAGTTTTACAGGTTATTTTGTAATTTCATATCTCTTCGGTCAATTCGTTACTAACGCTCCGATTTTGGCGAGCGATCGTCTGACCTAGTTTAAAGATTACAAATGTAGGTATTTTAATAGATATTTATTAATAGTTAGTCATTCAATTTTACTGAATAGCTTACAAGTTAGCTTACTTATTGTTAGATCATATAGACATACGAATATATTGGAATGCTAATTTAGAGCGAATAATTGCCAATTAGATTTCAGTCTCATATTCATTTTGGTTTTCATCTTTGTTAATCTTATTCTTGGTGTCAGTGGTCGCAGGTTTTTCGGCTATGGCAGTTAAAAATTGGTAATCTACGTTGATCTTTGGCAAAGTATTCTGATGTGCAATGAAACACCTATTCATGTGTTCAAAATAGTCGTTCAGAAATTGCGAGTGTAAATCTTTCGGAACATGAGCCAGAAAGTGGCACAAAGATACTAATTCACCTGCAATGGAAATAAATACAAATTAATAATCCAAACATTGTTGCTAAATCAAAGCATATGCATTTCAACGTGAGCCATATTGATTCACATTGATTTTTGTTGAATTTGAATTTGCACTTTTCAACCGCTAATTGCTTACCTTTGAATCCTTCAATATCTTCATAAGTGAAAGTCGAATCATGTATTGCCACTTCAATAGGCTTCAAATTTGCAGTTTCACACAATTTAATCCAGTGATCAATTCGTTCTTTTGCAGGAGGAATCTCATAAACAGGGAACGGAGCCGATGATTTCCTACGAATTGCTGAAGATTTAGACTTGGGCTTAGCCAAATCAAGCAAATGTTGGGAATCAGCTAATTGAGAGGTTGAGGTTCGCCGAGTAAGCTCAGATTCAATAGACTTATCTGACTGAGAGTTTGTCCCATATTTGGGTTTCTCATTATGCTTAGGAACCTCAAGCTTTCGAAACAATTCATACCAAGGTTCTTGATATGTTATCTGTTCTTGAAGGGGCAAAATGGAGCTCCAAGAAAACATTAATAAATAACATTTTCCTCCTTTAAACAAATACAGCAACAATACGAATGGATTTTTGAATAATGTTGGAAATATGAAAATATGTTTCTGATTTGAAAATTACTTTACCTGGCTTCAGCATTTTATTGATGTTTTCCATGGCTTTTGGCAGTATTCGTAACCCAATGCAGGCAAAAAGTAGATGTAACTACGTCAACCGATTCCGCTTCTATGTCCAAGTTTACTGACAGTTCTTCCCACTCGGCACAAATGTTTCCACAATTGAAGTTGAGGTTGGAGGTTGAATAATTTTCACGAGCAAATTCAATCATCTTTTCACTGCAATCGAAACCAATGATTTGTGAATCGGGAAAACTGGAGTAAATCATTTGCGTTATATTTCCAGTCCCACATCCAATGTCCACAATTACCTTCGGAGAACTTTAGAAACAATTAACAAACAAAATTAAAGAAAATAGCTAATCACAATTAAAGTTCACTTACACATTTTGAAAATCTTTTTCCAGTCTCTTCAAGAGACATTCAGAATCTTTCTTCTGTAACCCATTGGATTTATCATAAAGCGGTAAGAGTAAGGTTTTACGGACTAAGGAGGGACAACATGGGACATTTAAATTGAGATCCAATCAGGTTAATCTTTTAAAATTAAATCTAAGGTTAATCTTAGGTATAATCATGATTGAACTAATTGTTAATTACTAATATTACAGCAAATCCATGAATACTGAAAGAGGAGATGAGAAAATTCTGGTTAATCATTAATTTCAGATGAAAAACATTCATTATTAATTTCACCATTGGTTAGCGAAAGTGTGTGATTTTTAAGTCCCGCCTTAGTCCGTAAAACCTTACTCTTACCCCATAAGCTGTGGATCGTTATTCATCTCTGAACTAAGATTCTTGTTTGCTGCTTCATTTCACCTTAAATATCTCACATTTCAAACTGATTTACATAACTTTTTTCCTCATAACTGTTTATCTATCAATTTAACCAGTCTAAATGTGAAAAATCATTTCTATTCTGAGACCAAATCTTCCAAAACCATAAAAAACCAGAGATTTCACCTGAAATAGATTTGAATAAAGACAGAATCTTTGGAAAATAAATTGTTTCCCTTTTGCTAATGACAATTTTTCTGGAGGAAAACACAACACCGTTATAACGTCTACCAAGATCAAGTCTTTTTATGTTCAGTTAATTAGCTATTGTAATAATTTTCATCTACAACACTTTACCTTAACCTTATGGAAATTTAAAAAAGGTTAATCAACCTTTAGCCAGATTGAATGGTAAAAAAGAGTTAAAAACAAAATCAAAATATAAGCAGCTCTTAACCTCAAAAATTATATTCATTATCTTCTGACGGTTAATGTTAATTGCTGTCCTGATTGGATTTTTAATATATTCCTGTTAATCTATGAGTTCATCATTAACTTGACCATAACCAATGGATAGAGCTTATCCATCAAATGGTGAACACCAGAAACCAGATTTTTTTCTGGTTAGATCAGGCAAA